ACAGAGAGTGACTGATAGCCTGTAAGTAATGGCATCTCCTGCTGAGGAATGTTAACGCGTGACCGAGGCTAACAGAGCGATCAACAGGATGTAAGTGCTGCTATCCGCTACTGAAGAATGATGATCGTGCGACCAGGGCTGACAGAGAGGGACCAATAGATTGTAAGTGATGGTACCTTCTGCGGAAGAACGATAACACGCGGCCAAGGCTAATAGAGCGATCAACAGATGGTAAGTGATTGTACTTTTGCTGGAGAACGATAACACACGACCGGGGCTAACAGAGAGCGACCAACAGGTTGTAAGTCACAGTACCTCCTGCTGAAGAACGATAATCGCGTGACCACCATAGGCTAACAGAGCGATTAATAGAATGTAAGTAATGGTACCTCCTAAACAACGATAAGCGCACGACCAGGGCTAACAGAGCAACCGACAGCTTGTAAGTGATGGTACCTCCTGCTGAAGGACGATGATATATGGCCCGGGCTAACAGAGTGGTCAACAGGATGTAAGTGATGATACCTCCTGCAGAAGAACGATGACTGCGCGGCTAGGGTTAACAGAGCAACCGAAAGGCTGTAAGTAATAGTACCTCCTACTGAAGAATGATAATTGCGTGACTATGGCTAACAGAGCAATCTACAGGGTGTAAGTAATTCCTGTCAAAGAACAATAATCACATGATCAGGGCTAACAGAGAGCAACTAATAGATTGTAAGTTATAGGACCTCCTGCTGAAAAACAATAATCGCGTGACCACCATAGGGCTAACAAAGCGATCAACAGGATGTAAGTGCTGCTATTCGCTACTGAAGAATGATGATCGTGCGACCAGGGCTGACAGAGAGTGACCAATAGATTGTAAGTGATGGTACCTTCTGCGGAAGAACGATAACACGCGGCCAAGGCTAATAGAGCGATCAACAGATGGTAAGCGATTGTACTTCTGCTGGAGAACGATAAATGTGTGGCTAGGGCTGGAGCTAACAATTCAACTAGTAAATGCGGAACACTCTAGGCGCTTTAGTCTACCACCGATTGAGGTTGTTCGTAGGATAGTCAGATAGTTAGCCAGTCATGTGACTGGAGTTTGATAGATCTCTTCTCCTCTCCCTCTCAGAATCTTACCTTCTTCACCACCTTCAATCCTTCCTTTCTAGCCTAGTCCTAACAGAGGTCTTCTCATCTCCTGTCACCTTAGATCTAGAGGCGTCTTTCGTCGTTTAGCCTTAATGTGGGTTTTGTCCTTTAGGTCCAGGTTTCCCTACATTTTCTGCAAATGCAAAGGCTGTGAGTATAGTTCTCGGATTCTTCTTGTAACCTTAGAGTTCTGTGAAGTATGCTGAAACCTGGCACAATAAAAGTATGTTTGATGAAGAGCCAAATTAACTTAGGCCTCTTATGTAATCTGTGAATCTGGCTTTTCATGAAGCTCTAGTCCCACTTGAGACAAACAGCGAACGATGAGTACGAGAGACAGGGAAGGTTTAACCGAGAGGCTACCTCAGCGCTTCAGGGATATTCAGGTAAAGCGGCCAGAAGGGGCTGAAGAGTAAAGCGGCAAGAACAATCATCCCGACGAATGGCAAAAACAATATGAAAAAAAAACATACAACAGCCAGGATTCGCATGTGGTCACCCACCATACTACTAACTGGCCGGCGTGTGGCTTAAGTACGGCTGAGCGGACGGGAAGCCCTGTTCTCCACACCCTATGGTCGTATGTGGTAGAATGAATCCAAAAAGAGAATATATTCCCTGGGAAAAGAATATTTTGGCGGGCGAGTGGGTAGGGTGATCCTGGAAAGAACATGAACGATTATACAGACAGCCGGGATCTGTTCTTGCTTAGTTGCAGCGTAAAAGGTAGAAGGCAGAGTGATGGATTAAAAAGAAACACGGATACTGGACAAAACGACATGCCGGAAGTTAAGATAGTGTATCCTTGATTGGATCCTTTTCGGCTCCTTCGATCTGCTTCAAGAAAGCCTTCGCAGCATCCGGGTCGGATGCAAACATGTGCTCTGCAACCATTCGTCTCGGCGTCTCTCCCAGCCATTGGAAAAGCGAGAAATCCTGGAACTTATCCGCACGGAAGAGTTCAAGTACTTCCAAAGGTTCCTCCTCACTCAGGTTCTCAATGAAATGCCCCATATTACGGGGAACAATACCAACATCGCCAGCCATATAGTCGAATGTCCGTGCGTTGCCCTCAGCGGCAAAAATTGTAACTCGTGCACGGCCTTTTTTGAAGTAACTCCATTCATCCGCGTTTGGGTGCCAATGCATCTCCCGAAGAGCACCGGGCTCGATCTCCAAGTGGGCTGCAGCCACTGTCTTGGAGATGGGGAAGTTAGTGGAGTCTGTGATGCGCACGCGGCCTCCGGAGGTTCGAATCGGGTCCTGTGCGTCCATGTGATGCGTGAAGCGCAACTTGGATTGACGGAAGCCTCGTGGCTTCTCGTTGTCGATACTGTCCGGAATTGATCCTTTGAAAATGTACTTTTCCGAAGTCGGAATTGACTTGAAAGTATCAGGACGTAGGCGGAAGTTTTCTGCTAGCACTGACTTGGACGTGTGCGCTGGTGGGAATGATTAGTTGTAATGCAGATAATTGGGCCTTCACTTGCAGGGATGGCTTACCCATCCAGTCGGTCAATAAAAAGGTAGACTCTTCAGAGAAGTGGCCATCGTCAAATATAAGGAGAAACTCGGTACCATTGGGACTGAGTCCTTGCAAGGAATGCGGATGTCCAGCGGGGAAGTACCACAGATCCCCAGCCTCGAGGTCATCCATGAAGCTTCCTCCGTCAGGATCGAGTGCAGTGACCTAGTGCGAGGAAATAATCAGTCAAAACATGTTAATATGGTCACAAGCCAAAGGCCATTGAGACCGGAGAGGAGATCGATCATAAGCTCACCCGGACTCGGCCTGCGAGTACATATGCCCACTCAGCTTCGGTATGCCAGTGTAGTTCTCGAATGACACCTTCATCCAAGCGCATATTCACTCCTGCCAGTTCACGACTGGTGGGCAATTCGCGGATAGTCGTTTGGCGAGTCCATCCGCCTTCCTGGATGCCTGGTTAGCAGTAAGTTCATCGGAAGAAACCAGTCCTGCTGAACTGGCTGAACATCATACCTCAATGCGCGTATGCGAGTCGGCAAAGCTCCACCGCATATTGGACATGCTGCCATGATCGGTGCTTGGAGGGCGAACAAGATCAGGGTTCTGACGCTCGCGATCTTTGTTTCGCGGGCCCTGGACGGTCGCTCCATCGCCATTGCGGAACGGCAATGGTTCACGGCCCTCGCCGACCGAGTCAATCTTGTGGTCGAATGGGTCTCGATGCCCAGGGGTATATGGGGGACTCCCAAAAACGTCTTGGCGATTACTTGCAGGGATCCGCATCAATTGTTGCAGTGCATGATCAGGTGTAGGGCTGGCAGAGGATCCTAGGAGCAGCCCCAAGTGGATCAGAGCCGCCAAGGGTGGAGATCGAACGAGCATAGTGGCGGAGGAAGATATTCTCAGTCACATGGGATCACCAGTGAGACTCAATTGTCCGCTTCACAGATCTTTGAGCTTGTAAGATGATCGAAATAATCACACTTGGACCTCCGGGGGCCAGCACTGTTTAAAGTCGAGGATTTCCCCACTTTCTCCCCCATGGACAGAGTGTCCATGCGCACCATGGCGTGTTGTATTCGCGATCATCCGACATATCCGCTCCTTCTGGTCGTGTTAGGACTCCCATCTAATCGCGGAAAACAGGAAACTTCAAAGAAGGCCGCCGATTCTCCGTTAGCGGTAGGGCTGAGGCCCCCCCCC